AAGAAGAAGAAGAAGAAGAAGAAGAAGAAGAAGAAGAAGAAGAAGAAAGAGCACTAGAAATTGAAGTTCACACTGCTATTTGGTCAGAAAAACCCCTTCCTAAATAGTCTAAATAGTCCCCCCTCCCCTCTCTTCCCCTCTTCTCCCCTCCTCTCCCCTCTCTTCCTTTCCTCTCCTCTCCTATTCCCTCTCCTCCTCTCCTCTCCCTCCTATTTTTCCTTCCTCCCATTTTTCTTTTTGCTTTATCTAAAGTCAAAGGTGAAATTTATAACTCCGAAGAGATTCCCGAGGCCTGAAGAAGCCTTGTCTGCAATTCTCCTTACTTTTGTGCACTGGCCTTAAAGGAGATTTCTCTCCGTCTCCGCGCTGCTTTTTTATCACAGCTTAAGACAGCAGATGGCTCTCTTGCGTTTTCTTTCACTTATTTCTATCTGTAAACAGCCAAGAAGCCTTTGGGAGAGGAAGAAGAAAATGCCTGGATTAAGCGAAAAGACCCTGATTACCCAATGCTGCTCTCCTCTTCAAGCTCTCTTGAAATAGGAAGCCACATTGAATAGAATGGGCCGCATGGGGTTGAGAAATTTCGCTGTCTGAATATATCCTGAGACTCTGAAATCGCTGCTCTACTTGCTTCTTCAAAGGTCGGGATTGAAAAATCGAGCAAGCAGGACGCTTCTCCGGTATTAAACAGTTAAAAAGCTTCGGCCTCGAGGAGCGTTATTACAGTCAGTGGAAGCTGTGATGATTAATCTCCTTTTCAGTAAAAAAAAAAAAAAAAAAAAAAAAAAAAGCGGAAAACTGCTTTGAAAGAAGGATAGTCTAGGAGACCTTTTACAGACTGGCTTCTTTAGGGACCGGTGGAGGTGGCTGGGTAGGGTCACTGTCCCGAGGTGTTGAACCTCAAACTTGGTCGTGCTTGTGGGGAGGGGGTGACCTACAGAGCCCCAAATCTGACTTCCCGGTCAGATTGGGGAAAATGACTGCAACCTGGGGGAGGAGAGCAGGGAACATAGCTGTGTTAACAAGACTCTCAATCCCATTCAAGGTAGTAAAAACGAGGTGTTGGTCGGTGGAGTTGTAGTCAATTTAAAAGGCCATAATACTTCCATCTCATCTTGCTCTCTGAAAAAGAAATCACTACAAAAATCTTTAGGGAAATCTGTTTGCTTTAATCATGAAGTCATTCAGAAATTCTAACCTAGAACTTTTCAAATGTCTAAATGGCTTCTTTGCAGTAATGGCTCTCAGTGGGGTTCTTTCCCTAATGATTTAGCAAAAGAACAGCCATACTTTTTTCTGTGTTTCATCAGGGCTGCTCATATCTCTTAGCCTACCTTTTCTCTTTGTGAGCCATGGCATTGCTTCACAAATATACACTCAAAATAAATTGGTCCTCAGTTCTGTCTTTAAACTCATAGGTGACAAAACAATGCAAATTTTTGACAAAAAAACTCTAAACTATTCCTCTTAATAATTGTGATGTTTGTAGATGTAACAGCTAAATGATGGAAATAACCTTACAGGGCATATCTCTTAATATTAAAAATGATATCATCTTAAGCCTGCCATTACCTGCACTGGATCCAAATCTATACACTCCCGTTACAGCAAATGCTCCTCCCACATCGCTAGTAATCAAGGTGTGAACTAACAACAGTGAAGGAAATAGAACTCCTTACAAAGGGATGATAAGGATGAGTTGTAGAGAGCAGAAGTCCAGCATCCCTAGAATGCATTCTAGGCTGCATGCACTTCCCCATTTGCCTGGTGATGAATCTTTGTAGTACTTTATGACTATTCCTTAGGCACCCCCTCCAAAGTACATTTTTGTTCAAACCTGCTGCAGAGAGTGCCTGTGTTCTGCCCCCCTTCTTTTTGGTTTTCAAGTAGTCCTTGGAGAAGCCAACCAATGACTGCCAAAACATTCTTCCTCCGTGTCCACATTGGATGGTGAGAAACTGTTTTAGCATTCCTTTCTCCTTGCTTTCCTGGGATGACAGGCAAAATGAGAGAGAGAGAGAGAGAGAGAGAGAGAGAGAGAGAGAGAGAGAGAGAGAATCGTTGCTGGAATGCATCCTAAAAACTACAACCACAAACTGTTCATCCAAAGCATGAAGAGCTTCTCCCCAGCCCTTCTTTTCATTCCTTTCTTAGCCCTCCACATTTTTAATATCCAAGGGAGAAAGATGTCAAGTACAGGCAGGACACCGAAGGGAGGAGACATAAAGTATCATATTTTAATTTCAGATCCAGCTCAAGTGGCTTTGCTCTGACAGTGCTGTTCCAAAGAAAAGCAGAGCTCCTGGTAGCATGCCCTCAGGATGGCTGCTTTTTGCTATCAGTGAGCACTGCTACAGTGCCTTTCTTCACCTCATGCTAATCTTTGCGCTAAGACTTCCTCAGTGTTCTCCCAGGTGGGTAGCCTAGTCCAGCCCCAGTGTGGAGCCTCTGCAGTGGCTGTCCAGCTCCTCTTCCGCTCTCTGGGGAACAGAACTGGAAGCTGTTTCCACTGTTCTCATTAGAAGAGATTATCCATCTTTTCTCCCCTGGTCCTTCCTTCTGCTCACTGTTGACGGTTCAAAATGATAAACCTATCCTTCTTGGCAGCAGAAGAGTCTAACAAGTTTGGGTGACTAGGTGAGAAGTGGAGGTGCCTCTCTCAAGGCTCACTCTCCTCTAGCCTCCTCCAGCCTCCTCCATGGGGTGGGGATGCTTTGATGCTGGAGGGATCATTCAGAGTAGAAACCATTTCACCTGTCAACTGCTGCTGAGAGTTTTCTGTGGACTCTAGAACCCTAGCTAAGCTGCGGCAGCCCTGGAAACGCGCGAGTTTCATTTGAGCCAAAGCGCACAGATATTCCTTCAATTTCCCCTCCTTAGGTTCAGGGGCTTGGCATCCCACGCTGTGCAATTCATTTTATCTTTCTCTCTTTATTATTATTTTAAATCATTACTGAATATACTTTTTTCCCCCTGAAGACACATCGGAGGGGGACCACATAGTTGAGAGGGGGTTGTGGGGTGGGAATGGAGCGCTTTGATTAGAGAGCTCAGGGGAGAAGATTGCTCTCTCCAGATGCTGATTTCCAAAGCACTTGACAATCACAGGCAGAAGCAGACAGCGGACGGCTGTGGCCGCACCTGCCCGAGGGCAGCTCAAGCAGGGCATTGAGACCTGCCCATCGCGCCTGGGGACCCACAAATGCGCTGAGACACGGCCGCGACCTGTCCTCCTCCCCTCCATCCTGTGCCCAGGAAGGAAGCCCTCCAATCTGCCAACCTCTCACCCACCCGAGAGGCAGACAGGGCAAGCCAGCTGAGCTAGTGGTGGTGGCGACCCGAGAGTGCTCCAGCGACACGAGGTGACTGTCAGCCACAGCCCTCTGGACTTCCAGCCGCGACCTCCAGTCCCCGGACTGTCCCTGCTGTGTCCGGTAGCATCTACGCGCCCGGTCCGAGCTCAGCATACTGGGCGATGGGTCCTAGTGGGGACTGACCATCCTTACCTCTGTCCCTAGCCCCTCCAGACCGCCCCTCCCTCCGCTTCCCTTGGGGCGAGGAGCTGTCTGCGCCGCCCCTTTTCTCTCCAGTGCCCCGGCTCCCCTTGCTTCTGTCCCTCCCTCCCCGGGACCCATTCCCCGGGCCACCATGGCCGCGGCCATAGCCAGCGGCTTGATCCGTCAGAAGCGGCAGGCGCGGGAGCAGCACTGGGACCGGCCCTCTGCCAGCAGGAGGCGGAGCAGCCCCAGCAAGAACCGCGGGCTTTGCAATGGCAACCTGGTGGATATCTTCTCCAAAGTGCGCATCTTCGGCCTTAAGAAGCGCAGGTTGCGGCGCCAAGGTCTGTGTGGGTCACGGTGGGGAGGTGCGCCTCGGATGGGATGGCTGGCTGGCATTTTACCGCCTGGATAGAAACGCGTTGGGCTCCCCTTGCTCTTTCTTCCCCTTGTGTTTCTGTCCACCCTTCCCCAACCCTCTGATCTCCCTCCAGAGCGCCAGAGCGCCTTCCCAGGGTAGCTGCGAATCTGATCCCAGGCAACCTGTAGCCAGCCACTGGGAACTCAGCCCGCCCAGAGCCCTCAAATTGGTTCTTCTGTGAGCAGAGCTCCAGAAAATCTGTTTGTACTCTTCCTCCAGAGGTCGGGACTCCTCAGAGCACAGTATCCGCAGGATGGGGTCTTCCTTCTGCGGTGCCTCAGGTCACAGGCATTGCCCCCTAGTCACATAGGAGATGTCAGGAAAAGGTGTTTGCCCATTCTCGCTTCTTATCTTTAGTCTCCTGAAAAACTGCTTGGTTCATATCTCTTATTTGAAAGGGACCCTCAGCTGGGACTAACGTAAAAAGAAGTGAGCAGCACTGTGGGAAGGGCAGGGTGGGGACAGACAGACCGATGTTTGCACAGGGTTAGGTCAGTGAAGAGTTAATGGAAAGCTGGTTTTCAAGCGGCTTTGTCCCACCTCCTGTCACCCACATCTGAGACCTTTAGTCAAATCTTGTCTGAGTACAGGGCTACCCTCAGAATGAATATGATTGGGCCTGCTGGGGAAGTATGTATTCTTGTTTTGTCTGCTTTAACTGATAAACTAGCAAATTATATGAAACTGGAACAGTTACAACGCAAAGATGGCTAGCATAGCGCCTTTACTCTGTGTGATATTACTATTATATTTTGAGAAAGAGCTAGTGCCCCTCATGACCTTCTGCCGCCTCTAAAATGCCAGTCTTTACCTGAGAGATGGAGCTTGGCCGTCTGAGCCCCCTTCTCCACACCCAGTTACAATGGGTGGCTGTTTTAGGTGCATATGGGGTGCTCGGAGCAACATAGGTGCTTGCTCTACCTAACCAGGTGGGCAGGAAACAGAACATATTTACATTAATGGTTGTCTGTGTTTGCTCAGTGCAAAACAGTCTCCCAGCCCAGCTGTGTTTGCTTTCCATGTCCTGTTGTTCCAAAGACAAGGAAGAGAAACGTTTGAAAAGTCTGGGTTTCTGTGGGGATTTGTATGTGTCCACACCTTTACCCAACCATGACCAAAAGTTTTCGTGCTTCTTTTAAGGCTAATACTGAAAATGAAAAAGATAAATGAGTGTGGCAATGAAATGTTTTAGGTAACTTGCTGTTGTCGTCATCAAGCTCAAAAGAACACATGTAACATATGCCCTCATGCACATTCTACAAGCAATGCGATGTATACCTGTAGCAAAGAAAAACTTCCTCATAAAGATGGGACAAGGAGCTTTCAGAGCAGAGTGACAGCTATGAAGAATAATTGTCGTTTACACCTTATTCAGGAACCTTATCCAGGACATTTCTCATTTCAGTATTCTGGTCACTATTTATACCACGTCCCCCATCACCATAGGGTCTGCTTCTGACTTTATCAGATAGATTATTCATTGGAGCACAGTTTTCACAGCAGGGAGCTCTGAAATTGCCATCTATTAACGTGCAATGGGTATATTCTCTCCTGAGAAAGATTATCTTAGTACAAACACTGCTGAACAGAGCTAAAATCTTAGAATGTACATTCTGAAAATACGTAACAATTAGATTATTTTATAAATTGTGTCTTTTGTGTTCTATTGGGTGATGAGGGAGAGGTTACTTGACATGTGATGAATTTCAAGATATTTTTTTTTCTAGTCTAGAAAGATAGTTGGTCTCTCTAATAGTCAATTTTTTTGTTTTCAATACTGACGGTTTCTTCAGTATTCATAATTGAGCACACACACTCACACACACACACACTCACACACACAGAGACACCACTTAATAGTCTGCAAGAAAGCTACATTGGGAATATGTTGTCACTGTGCTGAGAGAGTGTAAGAAAAAATAAGATTAATTTATAGGGAATATTTTCCTTTATTCCTCTGTTTCATCACCTAAATATATGTTCTTTAGTGAAGAAAATCAGAGATACAGTTAGATACGTAGGAAAAAAAGAGGCATAGAAACTTGAAGCACACCCTCAAGGAGTGTATGCATTGACCCTTTAAAACAAGAACTCTATATTTTGTGTTTGAGAAAAACAATAAACATTTCTTTGTTGTTGTTGTTGTAAAAAAGATATATATATGTAAGTAATTTATTTTATACAATTTTTTCATTTATTATAATTTATTCAAATTGCATCCCAGCTGTGGCCCCCTCCCTCATCTCCTCCCAGTCCCATCCCCCCTCCCTCTTCTCCCCCTATGTCCATCCCTTATAAACATTTCTTAAGTTTAGGGTTTTAATTTTTCCTCCTTTAATATTTTTATCTGATTATGGTAGCACATACCTGTAATGAAAGAACTTGGGAGTTGGAGGCAGCGTGATCAAGAGTTCAACACCAGTCCTAACTATATGAAATCTTCTTTCAAAAGAACAATAAACAGAAAACTAATATTAGGTAGTATTTTAGGTAGTAATTTCTGTATTGTCAAATGTATTAAACTAGAGTCCCACCTCCCAAACCTGATTGTATGCTGTGATTTGCTCCTAAGCAGTCTGTAGAATGGCTATAGAATGACAGGTGCTAGGACTGTTCCACCTTTCCATGTTTCTCTAGTCTGCCTTTTCACCAGCCCTTATACCCTTTCACCTTCTTTGACTTTAAGCAGAATTTAGCATCTTGTAAATTGGCAGTTTGAATGTGTTTCTTTCATAGATGTATGTTTATGTGGATGTGTGCATTTCTGTATGCATAATTGTGTATGTGTGTCTACAGTTACATGTTAGGATTAATCTTGTTCCGGAAAGCTCAGAGGAAATGCCTTCTGAGAAATCCTCACGCACTTTATCATGTTGAAGTAGCCTTAAGTGGCATTTTTAAATTTCTCATTGCTGTGTATAACTGGTAATAATTGTTTAGCATGCATTTTCAGTTTACTCTGCTTAAGAAGAAAAATCTGTTTTCTTCAGATTTCAAATCTTGATAGAGTGTTAGCTGGGCCCTGTGGTGCTCATTTCTGTCATTTAACTAGAGGGAAAAAGAGATCCAAACTAAAGAACTGTTCCTGATCTTCAGTGTTCTAACTAAATCATACTAAAATCAAAGCTCCTTTGAAATGTTCCTGTGTTTTTTTTTTTTTTTTTTTTTTTTTTTACTTTGCCTTAACAAATACATGGATATAATCTGTTCCTTGTCAATGGGGCTGTAGAATGGGGTTTTAGTGAGTTATTCACAAGAAATCAAGAATATCAATTACCTCATTTTAATTCATGGATAATACATAAGAGCACATTTAAAGTATATGCTAACTACATAAAGAAAGAGAAAAACACAGAAAACACTTGAGATCTTTACAGAAAAATTAAAACAGAAAATAAAGATAAAGATTTTATTCTAAATGTATTACACTTCTGCCTTTAAATGTTAAAATAAGCAAGAACTTGTCTGTAGTATAGTATAGCCTTTCAAAATTATCTGTGTGGCCTGTGTAATTGTTTCTTGCAGGTTAATATTTTACTTGCACTTTTACCTAGGCTCACAGAAGTTGCAAGGTAGCCTAAAAAATTTAGAAATTAAAACTGTGCTACTTAAATTATATTTTCAAGTTAATCTGTGTTCTAAAAAGCAAAACAGGGAACAGGACAGGAGCCTATCACAGAGGGCCACTGAAAGACTACCCACCAGGGTATCAAAACATATGCTGAGACTCATAGCTAAGCTTTGGGCAGAGTACAGGGAATCTTTTGAAAGAAGGGGGAGATAGGAAGACCTGGGAGAGGACAGGAATTCCACAAGGAGATCAACAGAACCAAAAAATCTGGGCCCAGGTGTCTTTTTTGAGACTGATACTCCAAACAAGGACCATGTATGGAGATAACCTAGAACCCCTGAACAGATGTAGCTCATGGCAGTTCAGTATGGTTCCCCAGTAATAGGAACAGGGACCTTTTCTGGCATGTACTCATGGGCTGGCTCTTTGATCACCTACCCCTGAGTTGGGAGCAGCCTTACCAGGGAGGAAGACAATGTAGCCAGTCCTGATGAGACCCGATAGACTAGGGTCAGATGGAAGAGGAGGAGGACCTCCCCTATCATTGGACTGGGGGAGGGGCATAGGAGAAGAAGAGGGAGAAAAGGTGGGATTTGAAAGGGATCGGGGAGAGGGCTACAGCTGGGATACAAAGTGAATAAACTATAAATAATAAAATCAAATTTTAAATTAAAAAAGAAACAGCAAGCAGGAAAAAAAAACAGAAATGCATAAATATCTACAGAGACAAAACACCTGTCCTTAAGTATGGATAGTGAAAACCCTTGGTCTTCTAAGAAATGAGAAGCTTCCTCCTTATAAACCACCATGCACAAAATAACACAAAGGATAGCATAGGACCTCCGTGTTTATGCTGCTATCTCAGACCAGCTGTGCTGTGCACAGGCTTATGGAAACTAAAGCAAGAAAACTTTTTTCCTCTGAAGTACATTTCTTTCCTTTTGGAACTATTTCAAGTACATTTTGTTGTTATTGTTGTTGTTCATGTTTTTGTGTTCTGAGACCACAGGAATCTTCCTACACTTATTTTGATAAAATTTAATGCTGTTTGATAACCAGAGTTCTTCTATCTTTTGTTAGTTGTACTATGAATACAAAACTCATGCTGCTTCTTATTTTAAATGTTTAATTGTATTTTTAAATGACTATTTAAAGATCTTATAGGAATATTACTGAATTATGTTTCTTAATGACTTTCTTGTTTTGGTTTCAACAATTCATGTTTATTGTAGATTTCTAAGAGTAATCATTGCTTCGTACAATAAATTAAAATGTAGTCTAATGAAGTAAAAGTAATTGCTATATTAAGATATATATATAACTATTAAAATATGCTTTCTTCTGGGTTGAAT